TTTTATGATGCATCTGTGCGGTCGCACCTGGGACTAATAAAGTCTTCAGACGAAAGATTGGCGCGTTTGCATCTCATTTCTTGTTTCACATCGGTCACTTATGAGGCTCTGTTTCAGTGTCTGACCTCATGTTCAGCTAAAGGACAAACATGATGAGCATAATCTGGGGCCGGACCGCATCAGAACCACAGGATGGGCAATAAATGTGTGATGAGGAGGAGGAAGAGTGCAGGACGTATTGAATAATTCAGCCCTCATGTCTGCATGTGTTAGCATCAACAGGGCAAAACCTCACGTCCTCAAACACACACACACCAGCTGAATTATTCACTGTAAGAGTGTGTGTGTGGTGCGGAGACAGCAGTGACCCTGTAAGAAACACACACACACACACACACACAGACACACACACACACACTGGTCCAACATTCTTCACAAAGACCTAATTTATGAGATTTTCTTTTTCCCTGAAAAATTTAAAGTTTAGTTTTAGTTGGGCACAATTTTTTCTTTTTTCTTTTATGCATTTTAAAATATACAAAGATTTATAAAATATATAAAATGTATTTTAGGAAGCATTTCCCCACAGTTCAACTGATTCACCTATTTATTTGTTTGTTTGTTTACAAACAATTTGGCTCATATTTCAGAAAAAAATGTAGATTTTCGAGCATTTTGTTATTTATTTATTTTTTTTTACATTTTATTTTACTATTGCTTTTGACCTTTTTATTATTATTATTTATAACTTTTGGCCTTTTTATTTTATTCTATTTTTAATTAGTTGAGACACAAACCAACACTGCTGTTTTCACCTCTGTTCCTTGTATTGCTGTATGATTTCCCACTAAAATTGTTTATGAGGTAGAAAGATGAGTGTGTGTGTGTGTGAGATTTATGGTTCAGATGTGGCATTATTCTGGTTCTTCCCTGTTTAATCTCCATTTTGGGGACACCAGCCTTATTTCACACTGTGTATATATATATATATATATATATATATATATATATATATATATATATATATATATATATCAAATA